GCGCAGCCAGCGGCGTTAGCGCAGCAGCAGCAGCAATTACGGAAATTGCTCCATAAATAATCATATTTTAAGTGAGGAAAGTGCGATAGAGTGGGATATCTGATGGTGGCAAAGCAACCCTCCCGCGATTTTAATCCCGCCTCACGCCGCACGCAACGCACGTTATTAATGCCACACACCACAACCCACAACACACTCCACACACACACACACAGCACACACACACACACCACACACACCACACCACACGCACACACACGCCACGACACACACAACACACACACACCACACCCACACACACACACACATACGCACGCACGCACAACACCACACACACACACACGCACGCAACACACACGCAATGCACTCACACGATAAGTATAACGAACGCACGCACTATCAACACGCATGCCACGTCACAGGATTTTAAGTACATGACAGACACGCCATAACACACACGCACGCACGCACGCACGCACGCACGCTACGGCCACGCACGCACGCACTACACACACACACACCACCCACCACACAAAACACACCAACACACACACACACACAACACGCGCGCGCGCACACACACTAGTAGTGCATAGAACACTGTTCCCCATGCTGTAGTTTCATACGCGGTCATAGACACGATTAACGGACAACAGCGCGTACAATGTTATACTGCTGTGACTGTGTGCGCGCGCGCGTGTGGTGCGTGTGCTGTGTATGACATGTGATGGTGCACATATGTGTGTGTGTGGTGTGTGTGTGTGTTGTGTGTGAGGCTGTGTGGTGTGTGTGTGACCGCGCGCGCTGTGTGCGTGTGATGTAGTGTGTGTGTGCTGTGCGTGTGACCGTGCTGGTGAGTGACGTGATTGTGCGCTGCGTGCCGTGCAGTGGCGTGTGTGCCAGTGCGGCAGGAGGAGGCTAGAGGAATCCGCAGAAGAGGAAGATGGTTATTTCTTCTTGTTGCTAAGATTTTTGTTGTTGTTGTTGTTGTTGTTGTTGTTGTTGTTGTTGTTGTTGTTGCTCCTGCTGCTGTGTACACCGGATTATATAATAATATTACAAATATAGATTTCGCTTCACCGGTGATTCTTTAACATAATAAAATATTATAATGACACATAATATATAATTATACTACATAAACATATTATCGTTCATTGTTATTGTTATCAAGAGCTAATAATAACACGTGTTCTCCTTGTTGTAATACCTCGTATTATAATACCGCTTGTATTATTAGCTTGTATTATTGTATTATTAATTAGCTCTTGTTGATATCAATGTGACAATTGTAACTTACGGTTCCTCTGCGATGCGAATGGTAATTGTTTTAATTAATAACAATCTGATACAGAGAATAAACTGTATGGACCTCAGTAATTCCGTCACGGACTAAAATGTGATTCCATCCTGGATATTACGAACTAAAATGTGATTCCATCCTGGATATTACGGACTAAAATGTGATTCCATCCTGGATATTAGGCCCCTACGAACTAAAATGTGATTCGGTCACGCATCATTTTGAAAATAATATACATCTACCAGCGAAATCAATTTGTGCCCCGTAAAGAATGGTAAGTTTACTTAATAAAAGTGAACTATTGTCATTATATAAGTGAAGAATATCTTGTGATAAAATAATCTTAGATATAATGTGACGAAATCACATGGGGCACCCAACATTTTTACACCAAAGATATTACACCATTATAATTTTTGTTTTTCGTTTGAGTATAAAAGGGACTAGCTCAAAATAATTTCTGGATATTCCTCTTTAAAATGATACCAAGAAATGATAAGTACTCACCGTAAAAACGTGGGTGACAGCGGATTGAAAAAGGTCAAAAGTTCGTAGCAGACGATGTATCTTGATGAGAATCAAAGATGGCGGTTAACAACAGTTCCGCAGAAAACGATATTAATCGCAACAAAATTTTAAAATGCCAAAAAGTAAAAATATATGTACCCTAATGTTAAACTCTAAGTTTAAAAATCATATTAGACTAATTTCAATTTTTCCTGGCCCAGTATCGTTTCTCGTGGAATTCATGTATATATCGCGGATACACAAGATGTTTAACGGAGAAATAAATCATCATTAATATTGAATGATTCTCACATCTAATATCGACCTTCGTAATCAGAAAGACTCGTTTATATCAGCCATGATTTACGTGGCGCCAACTCGTATTAGGATGTGCTTTATAAATATTTTTTATTATTATCGGAAAAATCGCTATTCGATTTCTACAAGTCTATAGGCTACTTTTTTTCTTTTCTTTTTGCATCGCCAGTATTTGTGTTGTTGTTACATGTCTTAAATTCTTAATTTAAAATGCATTAAATTCTTAATTTAAAATGCATTAAATTCTCATTTATGCAGCGTTCTACTTCTAATTTGCAAGACAGACATTTAACTCTAGCATATAGCGTAATAATCTGTGTTAGTTCTGTCCGCTTACACTATTCGAGAGGTTGCAACATAGTTTCAATGAAATTTGTTCCTATAGAGTAGCTTCAGAAAGAGATTAAATAACTGTGATGTATTAAAATGATCATGCTATGGGCTGACCTTTCTTACGAAGTAGAACGTGTGTATTTACGTACGACTAATTTTCTGATCGCTCAAATATCATATAATTTTATCAGGAGTCATGATTTTATGATGTATCAAATATCATACCACACTGATAACAATATATACATTGTTATACAATGTATATATACATTGTTATACAATGTATATATACATATACATACAGATACAATATATGCTTTGTATATATACATATATATATATTGTTATACAATGTATATATTGTTCTCAGATACCACAGTCGCACACAGAACGTGTGAAATACAGGCTTGTGGCGCCATCTAGTATCGGTTTCTTCTAATACGTTCACATCAATGCGACTAGTTCCTCGAAATGAAAAAAAATCCGTTACAAAGAAGCGCATACGTTTTAAATAATAACACGATTTTATTTACAACAAACGTCAGATATACATACAGTACTTCTTTTGTTTTAAATATACGTACAACTGTAAACACTTCCATCTATTGCTAAGTGCATGTACTAACAACAACACGGGGTGACCCAACTCCCGCCCCGCAGACGTACAGCGACAGTGCGCTACCTACCGGCCGCCCTGGGCTGGGTGACATGCTATCCAGCACCGTACCTAACCCAGTTTGCCTGGGGAAGGCACATCCACATGTGCAGTGTGTTCTGAGAAGGTGACTGCCACTGGCCATGTAATCAGGCGTTAATAATTACAAATTTGTCAAAATAACTTGTCATTATTAACCCCCTGATGTAATGTATGTACATTTCTCCGGGGAGGCAACTGCCCCTTTGCCCCTCCCCCTCTCCTAGCTACGGCCCTGCTACCACGTCACGTCACACGTACACCATGCCATGACAACACAGCGTCAACACTGTGTCACGGATGCACAAGTACAGTGGCACGCAGGTTGGGGGGTCATGTGAAGAGACATTGGCAGTTGAAAACCCAATGCAGCGGCTGGTATAGCTTGACGTATAGGCTATACAGTATTGGGCGGGGGTGGGGGTTATTCTGGGGAGGGGTTTTATTTCGGAGAGGGTTATACGGGGGGAGAGGTTATTCGGGGCGGAGGGGTCGCGAGTTTCACCTGCGCGGACGGAATGCAATAGTCATAATAGATGCATTATCTAACAACTACAATCAGCAACTCGTTTATACCGATCAGCCGTACACGACGCCCACGTACACGCACGCCCACACCGCCACACACGCACGTCTACTACGCATGCACAGCAGCACACACGCCAACACACACGACACGCATCGTATCCACACATCAGCGACGCACGTACACGCACGCCCACACACACATGCACGTACGCACACATGCATGCAACGCAACACACGCACGCAACCGCCCACACCACATCACGGCCGAGATCCCGACAAACCCATCACACACGTATCGCACACATGCACACACACACGCACCGCAACCACGCACGCACCACCGCAGCACGCTCACGACTGCACGCACGCACGCACACCACCCCAGACATCAACCACTTTACTTACGCACACAGCAACCACCACACGCACTGGCGACGAGGCTACGCCCACACATCACAGGACAACGCACGCACGCACACACACCCACTCCACAGTCACACCGCAGGCACAC